CCCTGCACTTAGAACTCCCCATCACATCCAGTAAGCACAGGTTAAGCTCCTCACCCCAATCCTCCTCCTGGCCCCCTCCAGTCCCACTGTGTGACAGCCCAGCAATGCCCTCACACAGCCCAAGGACATTTAAACCAGAGCTCAGCATTGCAATGCAACTGTAAGCCAAGAAAAAAAATTTAAGACATGGGAAACACCCTCAAACTGGGCCCTGGATGATTTGCCATCAGTGGGGGTCACTGGGGATGAACTACAAAATTTGCACAGCGCAAGGGTAGCAGCTTCCTGATGGTCTGAGAGACTGTGGCTGGGGTGGCAGCAACAGATGCAGGGCTGGAGCCACAGGGAGCTAAGGATATAAGCAGCAAGGTCTGCAGGAATATGTAATACCTTTTAATAGACCAGCTGGTACAGTTGGGAAAAAACCCACAAGCACACAAGCCTTCCTTTGAGCTGGTGCACCTTCATGCTTGGCCATTTTTTCCAGCTGCATCACTTGGTCTATTAAAAGACATTATGGCTCCCTGCAACCCTTGTTTCTTCCTTTGGCCAGTCCTTCCTAGGATGAGGAATCTAGGTCATCCTGATGCTCCCCTTGTGATACCTGACAGCCTGCTGAAATGAAATAAAGATTTTGGTCCTAACATATGGAGCAGTTAATGTCCTGTGCACAGGCCAGAGAAAGCGTGTTGTCCTTTAAGGCCAAGAGCTTAAAGCTGTCACTGCTTCCATCAGTGCACGTGGGTGTTTGGACACCTGGAGGACCTACAGGAGTCTTTGGACGCTTCTGTCAACCTTGCAGGAATGAGGAAGCCAGGGCTGGTGGGGTGGGATGTGGGACTGCTTTGGGAAAAAAGCACAGAGGGATGCTGGAATGGATGAAAGCAGATTCTGCACTCAATGCCCAGAGCCTACGGACCATGTTGCATGGACACAGCCCCCACATCTCCTCAAGGGTCTGCAGCCCACAGAGCAGCCATAGCCAGCACCCCTGGGTGCCCCAGGAGGAGCACAGCTCCCATTCCCACCCAGGGCTCACCCCACTCCTGCCTGACCTTTCCTGGCAGCTTAGAGGAGGTCGCCGCGTCCTGACGGCTCCGAGCAGCTGGGACTGAAGCTGCCCAGCAAGGCCAGGCTGGAAGGAAGGAAGGAAGTTATAGCAGGCTTTTAAATAGTGCTATGCAATACCTGAAACTTCTATTTCTGTGCACAGATAATATGGTTTCCATATTCTCCTCCTTCTCAGCAGACCAAGCCATTCACGCTCCAGCTGAAGCAGCAACAAGCCAAACTCTTCACCAGTTTAAACCACTAAAGCTCAGTGAAGCCACTGGGAAGGATGGTCCCAAGCTGTACATTTCACCTAATGAAGTATCTACAGATGTCCTTCCATGTTTGCTCCCCACTCCTATTTTCCCTTTATAAGCAAGCAATGGATCGCAGGTGGTCTTGCAGTCCCCACACCTCCGTGTGCCCCCAGACACAAATGCAGCTTTCTGCAAGACATCTGAGGTTGGCAACAAGGTTAGATCCACCCCTCCAGGCTTAGGTAGGGAACCAGAGAACCAGGAGGATCCTCAGGGCTTCCTGAGGGTCATACACAGCTGTACACAGCAGAGCCAGTGGGGTTTGCAGTACTGATGAAGCCAGCTTGGCTGTCATTATGAAAATACCCTCACACTTGGAAAAAAACCACCAAGATAGAACTCCACCAAACTAAATATATTTGCTTCTCTGTGGCAATTAACCAGTTAAAAAATTTTCCTCCTTGAGTTTTCCCATCACACGTGCCATTTATCAGACCTCTCATCTTGAGTCTACCAGCCAAGAAACAACCTGGACACCTCTGCTGAAATGGGTTTTCCTCCACACCTGGTGCACACACCGGGACTCAGCCCAGCACCACCAGTCAGAGGGGATCTCTGAGCTCTGGTCTCCCTTTGGGACCCCTCCTGATCTCTGCTGTTGGTGATAATATTCCCAAGGATGGTGCTCATCCACCACAGACCACAGCAGGGCTGCCACCTCCTCCTAAGGACCATCACACCTAGGAGTAACATTCCAGTTTACCCACCTCTCCAGGGTTGGGACAAGAAACAAGTTCTGCACACATGAAACAACTCAATTCTCACGAGGACCCAGTGATTCCAACACCTGCTCCAGGACATGAGCCCAGCACATTACATTCAGCTGGTAACACCCCTTCCCAGACAGTGGATTTCATGGAAAGGGAACATCCCCTGCCTCGCAGCCCCCACCAGGGATACCAATGGGACACCTACAAGCAGATTTCCCACCTCTCCAGGGTTGGGACAAGCAACAAGTTCTGCACACATGAAACACAATTCTCACGAGGACCCAGTGATTCCAACACCTGCTCCAGGACATGAGCCCAGCACATTACATTCAGCTGGTAACACCCCTTCCCAGACAGTGGATTTCATGGAAAGGGAACATCCCCTGCCTCGCAGCCCCCACCAGGGATACCAATGGGACACCTACAAGCAGGGAGCCACTATTTCCAAGTCAGCAAACACCAGGAAAATGTACCAGGAGCCACCTCAGGCCCCAGCCTGGGAAGGAATCGAGCCCAAATGAATTAGTAATGCAAGCACCAGGATTCAAAGAGTAACGAGTAGTGCAAGGTTTGATGACAACGCTGCTGTTCAGGACTTGGTGTGATTCCATTGCCAGGAAGTGACAAGTGCCAGACTGCCAAACAGGCGTGGAAGAGGAGTGATTTAAGGAATACAGGTGGTTTTAGGAAGGCAGCACTAACACAGGAGACTAAAAGCTATTTCCTAACTGAGCCTGGTTACAAATCTCAGCTAACCTTCCCCACACTGCAACAGGATTGCCTGGAAAAGTGCATGTCCTGCTCTGCAGGATGCATGGATACGTCCATCCCATGGGAAAGCCATACAGAGGGGAACGCTAAGTTTTGGCATCGGAGTTACGAATGCCCTGGAGGAAGAGATCATTTTTGGAAAGCACGCCAGGGAGAGCTCAGGCAGCTCCACCAACGCAGCAAGGGCCAGGCAGGAGGCTGGATGCCAAGCCCTGCACGCAGGAGAAATCCTCACGCCAAGCAAGGTCAACGGGATTACGGGGCAAGCAGGGATTGCTCGCACGAGTGGAGATGGGAAGGGCCCAACCCTGCTCTGCACCCAGGCTTACACTGAGAAAATGCCACCACACAGGCGGCCCTACGTGACTCTGTGTCCAGGACCACTTCAGAGCCCTGTTTTTCCTTCACAATTCGCCTTTCCCGATGGCGGGAGGCAAATCACCCCCCTTCAACTCCCTGGCCGACCGAGGGGACACAGCTACTGCCAAACCCACAGCCGGAATGAAAAGCTGAGATGCTGATTAAAAAAAAAAAATAAATTTAAAAATACATTGCTCACATCAACTCGCTGAGGGAATCGCAGCAAAGCTGTGCTGAAGCTGGCACGGGAAGCTGCAGATTTATCCAGGAGCAGCCGAGTTTGGAGAATGTGTTCCCTCCCGGCTCCCCCCGGGGCCTCCCCACCCAAAGGGATGGATGAGGTTCATCCCTTCAGCTGTTTATAAAAGCAGCAGCAGTGCGCCCAGACGCACTCGGCAGCATTCCTCCCTCTCATTCCTGCGAGCTATATAAGGGAACGGCCAATTCCAGCCTCGCTCCCCCGTAGCCAGCCCCGATCCCTTTGCGCCGGAGCAGCTCCAGGCTCGGCTTCCTGCAGAAGGACTTAAATCCGTCCTCGGTGGAACACGGCGCTGCGCTGGACCTTGTCATCAAATGGCAGCACAGGCAGCTGCCAAATCCTGCCGGCTCGGTGCTCTAATAGGGAACAGCTGGAGAAGGACCCTGCATTCCTCCCGCCCCGTCCACACCGGGGGCTCTGTTCGGGATCCGGCCGCAAGGTTTCCATCCATCACGGAACGCAGCCGGCCGCTCCCCGGCGCTGCTCTGCCCAAAACCCGGGAGCTTCCACCCCCTGCGATTTTGGTGCTGAGGAATGAGGGGGTTGCTTTGCTTTTTATGGGTTGCGGGATTTTTTTTTGGTTTGGGATTTTTTTTTTTTTTTTGAGAGGTGTTGGAGAAACAGAACTGCGCAACTAAATGAGATTTTTGCTTTCCCTGCTGACTCTCTGCGTTACAAAAACTCTACTTTAAGCAACTTGCATCCCTGTGTACATCCACACTTAGGAACACACACATCTGTAACACACCCCCATAAATAAATACGGGAACACACGGCGCAATTCGCACGGCGCTTGTGAATTCCCATCCTGCTCCAACTCCCATTTACTTTGGAGGAGTTGAGCAACTTGCAATGGCCAATAAATGAAAGAAAAATACACTTTCGGTATCCACGCACATTTGCTGTCCTGCACCCTGCATGCTCAGTAACATGAAACAGTCCACTCATATTTTCTCAGAGCGCTGCTGAAACACAAGGGGGTATTCAGAGCCGCAGGAAAAAAATGCGTCCAAACAGGATCTGAATGATGAAATAGGAATTGCCACATTTAACAGGAAAAAAAAAAAAAATAGGATAACCCAGTTGCCCAGACCTTTATACAATAACAGTTCGTCTGAGGTAGCGATGGGCTGCTTCTGCATGTTGCAGAGAGCAAAGCAAGCCACGTTGCCCAAAAGAAGCCTAGAAAATCCAGACTCTACGTGACCTGACTTACTTATTTCACAGGAAACTGCATGGAAGGAGGAAGGGGGGGCACGGGGGGGAAAAGAAAAAAAAAAAAAAACCCACCAATCATTCATGCTACCGTAGTTACACCACGCCATGGAGCGGAGTAGTTTGCTGTGAAAAACCAAACTGAAATAAGCCAAACCCCGTTCGGAAAATAAAACGCGAGCAAGAGAAGCCGAGCTGGAGGAGCCCCCGGCTCCCCAAACCGCACCCGTTTCTTGGGTGTATTTTTTTTTTTTTTTTTTTTTAAATTTTCGACGGCATTAGCGCCCGAGAAGGCTCGCAGCAAACGCCAGCACTCACCGGGGTTGTTGGCCTCCCCTTCGAGGATGTGGAGCTCGGTGCAGTCTGCCAGGGAATGCTCGAGGCAGAGCTGGAGGAAGCGAGCCTGGGTCCGGCTGACGCGTTTGAGCAGGGAGAGCAGCGCAACAGTCTGCTCGCACTCGTTCCAGCCCTTGAACCACCCGGCCAGCACGCCAACCTGGTCTCGGAACATCATGGTGAGCCGGAGGGACAGCTCTGCGGGGAGAGAATAAATAACCGGGACAGCCTCCCTGCCCCGGCGCCGCTGCCGCCACCGTGCTCGGGTCAGGGGTATTAAAAATAAAAATAATAATAATAATGATTAAAAAAAAAAAATTTCTCCTTTGCGACGCGAAGGGCGGGTTTGGTTTCTGGACGCAGCTCTCGGCCTGGGCTGGGTTTTGCTCCCTCTCTTCTGGCTTCGGTGCAGCGCTGGATTCCTGGAGGGAGGGAGCGAGGGAGGGAAGGAGGGAGGTGGTGGGGCCGAAAAAAAAAAAAAAAAGCCAAAAAAAGGAAAATCCCAGCGTCAGGGCTGCAGCCAGTGAGGGGAACGACCTCCTCCCGGCGGGGGCTTCACACCTGGAACAGAGAGAGGAGGAGGGGGCGTCAGGGGGGCTGCAGGAGGACGAGGAGGATGGAGAGGAAGGCTCGCGCTCAGCCCGCTGCCTTCCTCCCACTCCTCACCCAACGCGCATTCCCCCACCGTCACCGCGATCCCCCCACATCCAGCACCAGCCATTTGGGATGGGGAGGGGGGAGCACCCAGCACAATTCCATCCCCCCCCCCCCCCAAAAAAAATTCTCCCCCCCCCACGCACCCCGTATAAAATCCTCCCACTCCTCACCCAACGCGCATTCCCCCACCGTCACCGCGATCCCCCCACATCCAGCACCAGCCATTTGGGATGGGGAGGGGGGAGCACCCAGCACAATTCCATCCC